AAAAAAAAAAAAAAAAAAAAAAGAAGAAGAAGAAGAAGAAGTCGGAGAAAGGCTGCATTTTCTTGGTCTTACTGCTTGGCCTGAGATAGTGTAAGCTTCTCCAGGCATTCTCAGACTTTATGTTTTAAACTGGCTTAAGTTGTTTTTTCTCAGCCTTGTTTCCCAGTTGGCTCACAAGCCAGGTCAGGGTTCCCACGCAACCATTCCAGACCATGACCTGTCAGACAAAAGGGGGCAGAGAGCCCTGTTCCTGGAGCTGTATGTAAGTCTTCAATTTCTTGGTGCCTCACTTGTCTTAGGAAGAATTTGTGACCCACCATATGATCACTGACTTCATCTGTTGCTAAACTATCACAGATGTAACAATAATTATTTTGGTTTACAGTACTTAGTTTCTTCTCATCAAACGCTACATAATATGGTTACTTTTAGCTAATCCACTATGGGAAAGAAGTAACCTATAGAATGTGGAGGGAAGGGAGTAGGATAGTTACCAGGTGGGAGTGGAATCCCTGCAGCCTGGCTGGAGAATGCAGCAGGGAGGTGGGGCTTTCAGAGTCTTCCCTGGTGTCTCTGCAGGGACAGCTGGCGGGCTGGGTAGGGTAAGGAATCAAAGTCTCCCCTTCCCTACAACACTGTATCTGACTGACACACAGGGAGTGCAGCAAGAGCACAAGCAGGGGGAAGATGGGGTTGGGGACCTTGAATGGGCCATTTTTTAACCCAGTTACTCCCAGAAGGTATTGCCTCATCTGGGATTAAATGCTTGGCATATTATGCATCTATGGATCTTGGCACTTACCATAAAATATTTCCACAAGACTCTTTGCCAGTGTGTTTCTAGTACCAGAGGGTATTTAACACATTTTCATTTGATTAATGAAATACAGTGCACTTTGTGTTATTAACTTGCTAGTTGACAGATAAATTAACTTCCCTTTCTAAATTCCATCTACCTGCTGAGGATGAAGCCTATTCATATGCACCCCATTCTAAAGCACATTCTGCTGGGCTGGGTACTGGCTAGTGCAAGCTACTGACTGACCATGGTGAATGCAGGAGCTGGGTATAAAACCCTATGCTTTCCCAGACCTTTTGCATAGTCGTGACTATGAATCCACCCAGCATCTCCAAACCTGTCTGCCCACCTGGCCTCCAGTGCTGAGCCCCATGGGAAAGAGCCAGAGACCCTGCAGCACAGCTCTAACTATCTTGCTCTAGTCCTTGCCCATGTGACCCATTTGTCCCGTGCCCATGGTGAAGGTCCACCAGCTGCACCCTAGACCCGCCTGAGCCCCAGCCCCAGGACTTCTCTGTGGCTGTGCCAACCCATTTCTACACCAGGGAGGGCAGGTTTGCTCTGCATGAGGTTGGTGTGTCTTCCAGAGGTGTCAGTGTGCCTATGTGTTTGTGTGCATGAGCCTCCTGGAGCACTGACCTGAAAGTTTGGGAGAGGTTATCAAAGCCACCCTTGGTTGCAATTGCCCCTGAGCTCTGCTCTTTGAGCATTCTGCCCAGATTATATCGCTGGATACCTTCTTCCAGATAGGGGCTGAGGAGCCCTTCTAAAGGGAGGCCTAGGACCAGGGTCAGTAGAGAGTGACAATTACAATAAAAAAGGAGAACCAGACCCTGGAAGGAGCTTCTTCCTAAACTTATTGAATGAGAATTACAGTAAGGGATATAATATAATTCATATAGGAACCAAGCACACATGCACCCAAACTCATGCACATGAATGAATCAAAGGTATTATAAAATGATTTTCCTTAAACCACTCTGTACTCTGACATCTTATTCTATTCTATTCTACTCTATTCCATTCCATTCTATGAATGTTCTTTCACCTGTTTGGGTTCTTTGTAATGCTGATCATAACCCACTACATTAATTTCATGAGCCAAAGCCTACAGAATGAAGAACAAAGATCAGTGGATTGCCCATGCAAAGTTATGGATAGTTCATTCCATACCAATTATCCTGATCCCTGAACAAATGTACTTAGAGTGAACTAGAACCTGGCTTTAGCACTGATGTAGTGTCTGAGACATCAGAGAAGTCCCTGAAGCCAGAGACCAATGTGGCCCAAATCCCAGACATTTTTTCCTATTTGATCATTATCAGCAAAGGTGAAGGGAAAAATCAATTTGATTTATTCCAGACTAGCACAATAAATTTCCACAGGTCAACGGTGTATGTGCTGGACAGGGCATTTTCTAAAGATGGTGGGAATTGCCACCTTTCTTCCTTTAGCCCACCACACACACACACACACACACACACACACACATTCATTAAAGCAGGGGTCCTCAAACTACAGCCTGCGGGCCACATGCAGCCTGCCCAGGACATTTATCTGGCCCGCTGAGTGTTTTGCCACCACTACCTGTCCTGCTTAGCAGCTGACTTGTCCCGGGTCCACAGTCCGGCCCTCCAACTGTCTGAGGGACAGTGAACTGGCCCCCCGTTTAAAAAGTTTGAGGACCCCTGCATTAAAGGCATCTACAATGGAAAGATTTAGTGTTCCGTGGTAAGAACAGGGTTCTTGACTGCAGATAAATAATTTAGAGGAATTAAAATGTCTATTAGACACCTAATCCTGAACCTCCCAACTCTCAGGTCCCTATTCCTTGGGTTCTCTAGCTTGACAAATTGATTGATGGATTATTCCAGGCTATCTCAGACAATGCCTGCAGCTGATTCTGATCTTGGGATGTGTCTATGCATTAAATGTCAAGAGATTCCAGCTTAGGCTCTAAGGGACATTAGTGTCACACCCTGCCATATTTGTCCAAATTAATCTCTATAGGAAAACTCCTAGTATGAGAGGATCTAGATGAGGGATGCACTGCCTCCCACGCTGTGGGTTGGTAGGGTTGGGAGCAGCAAAAGTATTTGAGAGTGTTGTACTCAGAACCTGATGAATGTCAGAAGGGAGACCTGCTCTGAATTCATGGCTGAAATGAAACAAGTCAGACCTAACTCTCTCCTATCCTCTGAGGGTGTCAGAGCTTTCCCTCTCATTGTCTTAACAAGCAGCCCAGTTTTTATCCCAGTTGTCATCTCACAAGGCCTCTCACTTACCAGATGCTGGAAGCAGAGTGTTTATGATCAGAAGTCAAGGGAACTCCTGGTACTTCACCCTTTCCCTGGGAAGTGTTCAACAACCCTTCCAGACAGAGGCAGTTCCCTCTAGGATCATCCCAGTTTTCTCCAAAAGGAAGACGTAAGGAACAGGAATTGTAGGAAGAACAGGCCAATACCTGGAGAAGAGGAGCTGGAAAGGAACAGGCCGAGTCAGAGTCAGGAGCCGCCTTCCTGACCCTAGCTAGTGGGTAGGTCAGCTCTCCCAGCTTCCTTGTTTCCATATTAAAGTCCTCCCCCAGTCCAGGGGGAGGGTCCTGGTGGGGGGACCTTTCAGTTCCTATTCCTAGAAGTGATTTTATTTATTAAAAAGCAGAAGTGGGGTGGCACTGGTGGCTCAAAGGAGTAGGGAGCTGGCCCCATATGCTGGAGGTGGCGGGTTCAAACTCAGCCCTGGCCAAACACTGCAAAAAAAAAAAAAAAAAGCAGAAGTTGGAAAGGGTTTCACTTTCTCATGCCTAGAGGAGTCAGAATCCACACAGTGCAGAAGGTTGAGCAACGCTGGCCTCTGCCCAGATGGGCAGGGAGGCCATGCTCGGGATTCCTGCTGACTTTGCAGAGGCCAACTGTGTGCCATAGAGTCCCATAAGAGGCCCCTGTCAGCTCCTCACCCCAGAGCCTGTGACCTTGTGCCACAATGCTGATCCCTGTGTGACGGTGGACGTGTAACCCACAGAAAAGTGCAGACACACAGAAAAGTTATCTCTATGAGTTGCCTCACCCCTGCCCAGGTCTAATATTCACCCCCACCCTCAGTTCCTCTGTGGACTGTGGCATGGACCACTGAGCAGGGTGGTTCTCTGCCCTGCCATCCTCCCTCCATCGACAGGGCCCCCTGAGGCAGTGCCCATTACCTGCTCCCACATACCTGTCCCGCTGTGCATGCTGCTGACCACCTAACACAGTACTTTAGCTCTTGCTGACATTTGTGTTCCGCACAAAATATAAACTTAGAAATCCTAGACACCACACCCGTGCCGTGTTGTGTGCTCTGTATCCTCAGCCCGTGGCCCTGTGCAGACAGGGAGAAGTTTGGTGCCATGTTAGAATGTTTGTCCCCAAAATGAATATGTTGAAACCTAACCACTGATGCAATAGTATTAACAGGTAAGGCCCTTAGTGGGTGATTGGATGATTAGTGACATTACAAAAGAGGCTCGAAGGAGTCTGTGTCTGTCCCTTCTGCCATATAAGGACACACAGAAGAGGCCATCTAGGACGCAGAGAAATCCCTAACCAGACAAAGAATCTATTGACGCCTTCATCTTGGACTTCCCAGCTCTCAAACCTCAAGCAATAGATTTCTGTTGTTTATGTGTTGCCCAGTCTGAAGTTGTTTATCATAGCAGCACAAACGCCTGAAGACAACTGGCGAACGTGAGGCCACGGTCTGAGTGCCGACACCATGCACCACTCGCTGTGTGAGTCTGGGCACCAGCCTAACTGCTCAGGGCTTCTCATTTCCTCTGTAAGAAAAGCTCCCCAGGGCTGTTGAAAGTAAGTGAAGAGATGCCCCAGGGCAAGGGGCATGAGATTATATGAGCTATTATATGACATTATAACAAGATGATAGAGTATGTCTGTTTTCCAGGGATTTGCAGTTGCAAAATCACTTATGTAGCTATGAGATTGTAAAATTGGGTGATTCCTTGCCTAGGCCAGAGCAGAACCACCATCAGACTGACGGACAGACAGGACAACAGGATCACTATAAGGGGCATGTGGATGAGCTTTCACCAAAGGCCAGCATTAGGGATAGAGAGAAGAATTCAGTGTGCAGGACACAGGTCTCTAGGGCAAGATGACCTTGGTTGAAAGTCACTGGGGCTCCCCACAAGATGCAGAGACCAAGGAGGCAAGAGGAGGCCTGTGGACTGGGGCTTTGGCTATCCCAAAGATCCCACAGGGGATCTGAATGAGTCCTTCTTGGTCTCTCATATTAGAGGATAGGCAGTGGCAGTCACCTCTGACCCCAGAGGCCAGTGAGGCCTACTGCAGCTGTACCACACAAGTGAGACTTGTCCTGCTTTTGCCGCTGCCCCTCTGCTCTCCACCCCTCCACCCTCTGATCTCTACCCTCCACATGCACTTTGTAAGGATCCCGAACAGCAGAGACTCAAAGCAGAAGAGGTGGGGAAAGGAAAAGACCAGAAGCTATTATCTTGTCCCCACTGCTGATTTCTCAATCTGGGGTGTAACTGAGCTGGGTGGGGAAGATTTAGGGTTCAGCAAGAGTCTGGAGTTTGTTTATCAGAATGTCTGGACTTCTAACTACTTGAGTGTGACCAGGAGAAAAGATATTTCCTGAGCATGGCCAGGGAATATTAATTATTCCTGTGTAATATTTTGGTCAATTACTGGGGAGTGCTCTGTGTCCCTGCAGAGGGGGGAGTGATGAGGAGGAATCAAACTGCTTTCAGTGGTCCCTAAGAAGATTCGACAGTTCCATCTCACTGTATCCCTGGTACCTAAGAGGCAGGTCCCTGTCAGTGAAAAGGAGGATGAGCAGAGAAGAGGCCTGGGCCTGCCCGGCACTCCACTCTGAAGGGAGGAGGCCCCAGGGCCTGGGCAGGAAGGTGGAGGGGGAGCGTCTCACCAGCAGTTACACTGACCCAGAATCCTGGCCCATCACCCCAGACACCAGCTCTGCTCACTGAAGACTTACGCGCTCCTTCCAGTCATTAAGAGCCTTAGTCCTGTCCAGACTGGCTTCTTGCCATCTCCTCTCCCTCTGGCCAGACTGCTGGTCAAAAGACTTTCACTCTCCTATTCCTAGAAACTCTTGCTTTGCCCAGAAGAGGAGAAAACATAATCTGATTTCACTTTTCTTGTTAATATATGGAGCTTTTAATAGGGAACGCAGACATTTCTGTTCCATATACTCTGACTGGTGTAAAAATAATCAGATGGAAATCCCAGTCTTCCACGTGATGAGAGATTTGGAGCTCCTTATCTCATTTTGGCCTATTAATCAGCAGAGATATCCTTCAGGGCTACAAGAACACCACTAGGAAAACCCTTGGTTCCCAGGGATCAGGAGAGCCCCATGCAGTGTTTCCTTCATGACAAGGGCCCCTTATGTCTCTGGCCATCACTCCCCATCCCCACTTAACCACAGCAAGGTAAGAAAATTCAAAGGACTTTTTCCAGAATGTCTTCCCTCTTTGCTTTGGAAACAGTCAACAGTTGCCAAAACAGATAACAAGTACATCCATCAGATTTGACAGTCTTGGAAGGACAGGTAGGAGGAGTGTGGTCAGAGCCGAGTGCCAAATACAGTTGGCTAAGCAGATGACAGCAAAAAGAGATGCCTATTGTGAGAAATTTGTGAATGAGGGAAGAGATCTGAGGTGTTCTTCTGATGGCAATGGGTGGGGATGGTTGCAGACAAGGTGGTGAACAGGCCCCTGATATAAGAGAAAGTATCTTGGAAGGGGACTGAGGTCCTAGGTCCTTTCTGGCCAGTGTCTGGAGCATTCTCTTAATTTGTGTCTGGGATTCATTATCTTAAGATGGTCCTTCATTTTATTCAGAATTTATGAAGATGAAGTAGGGATAATGTGTATGTAGGCACTAGAGAAATCTTGAAGAATTTAGTTATTTATAGTTTCATTATTATTCTATTGCTCTGGCTGATGTTCACCCAAGGATGTAGGATAAAGTGCTTCTTATCCAGCTTAGATAGAGGGTGGGTAGTCGTCAGGAGTAAAAGGGTGTGTGTGCTGTACATCTAGGCCTCTGGCAGCAGGGAAACAGAGGAAGGGGAGACCAGGGATGAGAGCCTCTTCCTGTCCATCGGAGGCTGGTTCCCTTCCATCCTCACTCTTCTCCCTCAATGCCTCTTAGGAACTCTTCATCTCTGCATGTTGCTGATTTTACCTAGGTATCCATGGGTGACATTCAGAATATTTAACCAACAGAGAAAACTCGAGCACAAATCTACTGAACTACCTCTTCACCCTTGACACCAGGAGTTTGTGGGCACACAGTGTGTAAGATACTGATTTTAATAGCCTGTCACACAGATAAGCACACACATGATCTGTTTTTTTAAACATTCTTGATGAGAGATCCATATAGCCCTTTGCCTTTTCTGAAATGAACTGTGGTCATACAAGTACATGCTTACATAGGCAGCACTGCGCAAACAACCCAATAACATTTCATAACCTTGCTATATCAGTGTTTCACAGGTATGTTTATGTCTACGTGTGGTGGTGTCTTGCTGAGTGGCATGCATTATTGTTGTTGTATTATTGTTGTTTTTGTATGCCGTATGACAGCTCTGATGGCCATTCCAGAAAAGGAGTTCCAAAATTGCTTTGAAGAGTGGCCTAGGAACTAGCATTGGTGCATAGCTTCTCAAGGGGCATACCTTGTAGATGACCATAGTGATATTCAATGATGAAGTATGTAGCACTTTTACCAGGATGAGTTCATGAACTTAATTGTCAGATGTGCATTCTCATAGCTGATGTTGGTTTGTAGTTTTTTTGTCTTATGATGTCTCTCAGAATGATGCCAGCCTTGCAGAATAAGTTACAAATACAATATATTTTCTGCCTTTCTATTTTTTGAAGAATTCAAAAGTGATTTGTGTTAATTCTTTTACAAGTGTTCAGCAGAATTCACCAATGAAACTATCTGGTCCTGGGATTTTCTTTGTTAGGAGGTTTTTGGTTACTGAGTCTATCTCAGACTATTTCTTCTTAAGTCAGGTTTTGTAGTTTTTGTGTTTCTAGGAATTTGCCCATTTTGTCTAGGTTATCTAATTTGTTGGCACACAATTGTCCATCATATTCTCTTACAATCCTCTTTATTTTTATGTGGACAAAAATGTCCTCATTAAACTTCTGATTTTAGTAACTCAAGTCTTCTCTCTTTTTTTAAACTAGTCCAGCTAAAGGTTTGTACATTTTGTTGATTTTTTTCAAAGAATCAACTTTTGCTTTCATTGATTCTTCCAATTATTTTTCTATTCCATATTTAATTCATCTCCACTCTAAATCATTTTCTTCTAATAGTTTTAGTTTAGTTTGTTCTTTTTTAGTTCTTAAGTCATATAATAAGCTAAGTTATTAATTTGAGATCTTTCTTCTTTTCTAAGACACATATTTCTAGCTATAAATTTCTCTCTGAACACTGTTTTCACTGCATCTTACAAGTTTTGCTATTTTGTGCCTTTGTTTTCATTCATTTCTAATTATTTCCCTTTTAATTTCTTATTTGGCCCATTTGTTGTTTTAAGATGTGCTACCTAATTTCTATATATTTGCAAATTTTCCAATTTTCTTTCTATGTTGACTTCTAATTTCATTTCAGTGTGGTCAGAGAGGATGTTTTGTTTTGTATGATTTTAATCTTTTAAAAATTTATTAAACTTATCTTGTGATTTAACATGATCTATCCTGACGAATTTTTCATGTGCTTTGATAAAAATGTATATTATGGTAACTTGGGTGGAGTGTTCTGTATATGACTCTTATGTTCAGTTGGTTTATAGTATTGCTCAAGTTCTCCATTTCCATACAAGATACATACTACTGACCTTCTGCCTTGTCGTTCTATTCATTACTGAAAGCGAGATATTGAAGTCTGCAACTATTATAATAGAAATGACTGTTTCTTCCTTCAATTCTATCCATTTTGTTTCATGGTTTGAGGCCCTATGGTTAGGTGTGGATATTTTTATAATTTTAACATATTCTTTATGTTAATAAATAAACAAATATAAAGAATAAACAAAGAATAAATAAATATTCTTTATAAATATTCTTTATATATGTGTATATATATATATTTTTTTTTTTTTTTTTTTTTTGAGACAGAGTCTCACTATGTTGCCCTGGGTAGAGTGCTGTGGCATCACAGCTCACAGGAACCTCAAACTCTTGGGCTTACGCAATTCTCTTGCCTCAGTCTCCCAAGTAGCTGGAACTACAGGCACCTGCCACATGCCCCGCTATTTTTTTGTTGTAGTTGTCGTTGTTGGGTTCCAACCACCAGCCATGGTGTATGTGGCCAGTACCCTAACCACTGAGCTA